TAATCTCAATGGAATAATCCACCCACGCAACGGAAGTTTCCTATCCCTTTCATTTACTCTAATATCTATGGTATACCATAGATATTATAGACTACGTAACCGGGATTGGAAACTAGGATTCCCTGGTGGACAACGTCCGTGATTGAATTGGGCGTTAAATAGAATAAATTTGACCATGTGGCTTGCTTTTCATGCGAAAATAATGAATTTTTGGTTTTAAAGCAGTACTGTAGTCAAATGCAATGCATGAATTAAAATGCTAACCCCCCAATTCCATGCACACAATATCACCCTATCATCACCCAAAAGGAGAAACCTCTGCTTGTTTTGTAAAAGCTGTAACAGGTACGACAGTGGACTGTTCGCAGAAACAGTATTTCAGATATTACTCCTCTCACATAGCAAATCAGTAAATGAAACTATGACAGTTCCATGCACAATGATTGTGGAAACATTTCCAATGATCTTGTTAGTCTATTTTTACCCGTGTAATGGAGCAACAGGTGCAAAAAGTTTTGAAAATTTGCAAGTAACAGAAATTTGAACAATATCACAGTATATTTGCAAAATAACAATGGTATCATTATTTTTTTCATTATAGTCATGTTACACAAACACTAAAGTATTGAAATATTATTAAAATAACAAAAAATCAACATTGGTTTAAATGCAGTCTTCCTTTGAATGTCGTCGATGAGTAGCCATTTTTTGACCACACCCACCAAAATCCAATCACGGACCCTGTGTCAGCCGGTTTGTACTGGTTTGAATGGATCACGTGACCTAGTTTCCAATCCCGGTTACGTAGTCTATAATATCTATGCGTATACCACCCGGTTCGTACACTTTTCCCGTCACATTAGATAGAAAAAGTTCGGAACCCTCCCATCACACATGACTGTAAAAGTTCCGGTTATTAACTAGTTATGTATTAAATTTAACCCCTTCTTTATAAGAATGGCTGCTGGAAAGAAGACCTTTAGTACTGTATGCCATTGTGCATCGGAGCAAGCCACATAAAGGTTGCAATAAAGATGATGGTATGTTTAAAACTTCAGTCTTCACCTCTGATGATTTCCTGCACGTAGCACTTGGTTTTTAAAAGAGGTAGCCCTACTTGTGTATTGTGTAAATATCCTGAACTACATGTATGCTATGCATCAGCAAAATATGTGCCACATCATGCTTTGTCATCATTCAGATGATATTTCAATTGTAATGCATGATAAATGTATGTGTATAATTGCTAATGTGGCGGTTATGAGCTAGCTGTAGCCTGCTGATGTTCATCTCATGATCCATGTAGTCAATATATTTGAATGGAACTAGCCCTTAATATTTTGCATTTTCTAGTATAATTGAATGGTAATGAATGATGATGCAATACTCAATTTTACGTTTTTGTTCAATCCTTGTATAGTATCGCTGACATAATACACCTAATCCATGCATGCTACATAATGCATGTAAAATTTTGTGTACTTTGAACATTGAAGATACTATTGGTACCACACTACTTGTCCTCATTTTAGAACTACTTTGAGACCACC